TTGAAGATGGTAACTGCCTCTCTTAGGGCGAGGTACTCATCCTCTAGGCACTGGAGGAGGAGAGTTATTTTGCTCATATTTCTCGAGCTTTATTGCTTTTAGGGAAATCAGCGGTTCTGTAACCTAAGATGAGGCAGAACAAGCTGATCGGGATTTGCCACGCGGGAGAGCTTGGATTGAAAAAGGCCGATGCACCAGAATTTTATGTCGCGGCCCTTTCTATTTTCTTCAACAAACCAGTTGATTTATATATTTATTTGATCAACGGATACAACGGATTAAGTGAAATAAGGGTACAGACCGATCGGCGCTCGCTTGTCAGCGGGATCAGCCCTCGTGGACGGCGCTCCAGCTGTCGGTAAAACCTTAACTGCCGGTCCGAGCGAGGGGAAAGCCACTCCCACTGACAGGCGGTGACCAAAACAAGAAGGACGTTGCGGGTGCAAGTGCATACCGCAACAGATGGTTTCGAGTTCGTTCGTGTCGAGATGATCGAATTGATGAGCTTCAGGTGAGACGACATAGTCTTTCAGAATTGAAGTAGAAGCGGCAGTGTAGCGCTGAAGCTGTTTTTTGTAGAGTCCGATTTGACGACGGATTTGGGCGCTCATTATGGATTATCGTGGAACTGTAAGAAGATCCGAATTTAGCGAAGCCAATTATTGGAAGGAGTCAAAGGGATGGGCATATGCCGCAGTATAGGGGTTTTTGGGTGTTGTCGAGGGATTGAAGGGGTGTCGGTGCTTGATGGAGTTGTCCAGTGAGGTCGAGGGCGTATATGTCGCCGTTTGTCCTGTCGTGGTCGCCAGTTGTTTTGAACGTCCGTTGTCTGCGTGGAGACGATTGGGTTTGACCGATTTATTCGACGTTGTCCCTCACAATTTCTAGCTCAGTTTATATATCAGGCAAAGACTCTACAACTCTCCTGTATTGGCACACTATCTCATAATGTAGAAGCATATTCCGAATTCTGATTAGCGATTTCTGCCAAAAAGAGAAAAGGATACCAACAATAGCTCGTGTGAAATACCATGCGAAAAATGTAAATTTGTAAAGGCCCACAAAAGAAAAAATAGTTCATACCATGAAGACCATGTAAAAACGAGAATCCGCAGAAAAGAAGAAGAAGCCAATATGAAAGTATTCTGTGAAGGCACAGAAAAGAAGACTTATGTAAGGAATGTTTGGGATGATTCACGTGCTTTCGGAAAGGGCATGGTTATTCTGCAAAACTGCAGAAAAGTCGGATTGTTCAGGTAATCCTTGATGGCCACTGTGATTCCTTTTACCAAAAATAGGCTGTTATCAAACAGTTGTATTTGATAGAAGATTCCGAGCTTCTTTACCTAGTCGCTCTTTGGAGATGGCTGGAAGGAGCATACTTGTTTCGGATGGTATTTCAAGAGACTCTTGGGCGAGTTTGCGTTCTGAAGTTGCCGTTTTGTTTTTCCTGTAAGGGCAAGATTTAGTCTGGTTTGGACATTGGCATGTTTCCTCGCATAGAGTCGGTTTCAGTGGCCTGGGTTATGTTGACTGCAGTTCGAATCGTATATGCCTATTAGGACAGGAAACAGGAAACCAGCACATTATGTCTTTGTCCGTATGGGTTATTTGGCTATGGCTACTCCTTTGGAGGCGCAGTTCCTCGCGTAGAGTATAGTCTTGTAATGGTGACGTCCAGGGCATATCGTATTCATCATCCTAGAGGACTGGAAAAGAAGAAGAAGATGCAGAGGCAAAGAAGTGACGAATTCAGTCGAGTTTTGGATCGTGTCATCATAGGATGTCTTGACGTGGATGTGGAAGGTAGGAGAACGGGGTTTATGGCGGCTCAGACCTTTCATTTTGGAAATCCTGCCGTGGTCGCCAGTTGTTTGGGACTGTTGCGGTACACTGAGGATGAAGACGAATGATTTATTGAAGAACGACCTCAAGGTTTTTTCATGGTCAGCTTACATACGTAAGGAGCTGCTTTCTCTCAAAATGTAGTGCAATTTTATCAAGATCCATTATCAGTTTGTCATAGGATAGTGATCGATATCGTTATCGCTTTCACAATGGAGGCTTTTGAAGAGGCATTCTTCAAAATACAAAATGAAGGATTTCCGGGCCTGCGGTTCTACTCAAAGGCAATCATATAATCAGAAGGAGTAATGACAATTTATTTTGGAATACATATTTAGCAAAGAATGCAAGCGCCCATTTTCAGTTTCTCCTGTAGGAATTACAGTTTGTTCCTGGTATCGAACTGAACCTTGATGCCCCTGCATAACTGTCGATTGAGAAGGTTGCTTCGGTCGCTTTGGTTCTGAGCTCTGGTGGTGAATGGTGGTGTGTTGAGTTGGGTGAAGGTGTTTTTGTGTGTGTTACGGAGGAGTTGGAGAAGATTTTAAAGAATATTTCGTGGCAGCACTAGCCTCCAGCCGACGAAACGTTCATACAGTGCGTTTCAAAAGTATGTGCACACCCTCAAAATTCACGTTTGAAAGGGAACCATGAGGTTTCGTGCTATGAAATCCTTCTCAATCGATTTCTCGTAGTCGATAACCTATCAATGGAAGCAAAGCAGATAATATCGCCTTCACTTTCGAAAAAAATTTTGGATGAAATTTTTTTCTTTGTTTCAAAAGTATGTGCACACTTAACAAAAGACAAAAACATAGCTGAGATTAGAAATCAGTGGGGCCTCCAGAGTTTCTAATTAGCTCAAACATCCTGTCCGGCATAATCTGAACCACGTTTGGCATAGCTGTTTCGTCGCTGTCGGCCCAAATGAGCCTCGCCGCCTTCAGTTCATCCACGTATTATATGCCGCGTTGCTAAAATGTTAAGCCTTTTGATCAAGGGCTCCTATAGGGTTGCAGTAAGGAGGGACACACAAGCCAATCTATCGCTTCAGCACCATTTGGTTAAGGCCATTCTTTGGTAGATTGCGAAGCATCGAAAGACACGTGGTCCTGTTGCTAAAAATGCAATTTTCGCTCCGCTTCGCTAAGGAAGGGCAACAGGTGACATTGGAGCACTGCTTGGTATTCTTTACAGTTCATACGCAATAATGGAACGGCAACAGCAAAGTCGGATTGAAATCGGTGGAAAATTCGGCGCCAAAATCTGATCTTCTTCAAGTGTGCACATACTTTTGAAACAAAGAAAAAAATTCATCCAAAAATTTTTTCCGAAAGTGAGGCGATATTATCTGCTTTGCTTCCATGATAGGTTATCGACTACGAGAAATCGATTGAGAAGGATTTCATAGCACGAAACCTCATGGTTTCCCTTCAAACGTGAATTTTGAGGGTGTGCACATACTTTTGAAACGCACTGTAAAAGGTCGTCGCTAAATTGTTGAAAACCTACCGTGCCTCCTTTATACCGTGCTCCTTCACTGTGCGCAGTTTCACAAATGAGCACAGTCATCTCGCTTTGGTCTGACTTCTAGTCGTTGTACATGCTTTGTGAAGAAGCCTATTTGGCGTTCGATTTGGAGTTAGCGCGAGAGAGAGGAAATCTCTAGCAGTATTTCGACAGAACACTATTCCTGGATGATAAGGAGTAGAAGGAATATGTTGCAGCTGAATAAGCATGTTCTATGGGGACCAGTCGATAATAAGAATGACCAGACGCAGGGATTCGCAAAACGCCAACGTAGAATAGGCGAAACTAAAATTCTGTAGTGGCACAGAAAGCCATGTGAATGGTGCGGAAACGGTTGCATATATTTATCGCCACATAGGGACGCCATAAAGGGAATTCGTACCAGAATACAAAATGAGCAGAGAGTGCATTCAATTTTGCCCCGCTCGTCTGCCTTCCCGTTTTCCATTCACATTAGTTTCATTTGCAGAGATTACAGAAACTTATAATTTCGAAAGAGCTAATACATATAATATTATGCTATCTGCTACTTGATGTCCGCCCCACTGTACCCCCCCCCCTCTGCCTCGACAAGACAACGGTTTTATGCACGTTGTCACTACAGGGGTTCCATAAATATTGCAGCAAATTTTGTCCAGTAGTTCTGCTGGGGGAAAACTGATTTTCTTGAAATGTCGATATACTTTTTCTTCCCTCATATGTCTATTAATAAGGTTGTCAAATTTGACTGCTTCTGGTTAGCTTTCCTGTACATGGAGCGTCTAAATCCAGCTAGAGCTGTCATTCTCCATCTGAGCGGGGAGGGTAAAAACCGTAAACTTGCTATGCCGAATAGTGCGTTGCCCTTTTCGGAGCATCCCTCCACTTACCCGGTGTCGCTCGAAGTATGAGTATAGGAAGTCGTAGGCTTTTACCGCGGTACTGATTGAGCAGAATCATAACATCACAAAAGAAGGGCTCAAATGTTCGACTGGACAGCTCGAAAGCACCAGATCGAAACCTGTGAAACGAAAAAATCGAAACAAACCTGGGACTAAGCCTAGGCCCAATCATAGGTCTTAGGATAAGCCAATGTTCGAAGAAGCTTCAACTTAAGCCTAAACCGAAGCTCAACCTTAGGCTTCAATGATCACCCAACTCTGGTGACCTAACCCCAGGAGGAGAACTGAACGTCTCCCGAGTGGGTTATTACAAGGATTCTTATTGTGGCTGTTCTTATGAACAAAAGTCACCATATCTCCAGAAAGGGACAGAAAGGCATGAACGACTAGTGATGTCTGCATAAACTTTCCATAAATGGGGTGCCATTCCATCGTCTAAGTCAGGAATAGGGTATGCTTTTCTAACCGAAACATTGGTGTGAAGATCTTGGTTCTGAACCTGGCCAAAAGGCCTATGTAGTAGACCCCATGAAACGTTGTGGTTGATTTTTGGAAGAATTATGAATAGCTACTACCTACGAAAAGGGAAGATGCCATTGATCAAGTCGACGACATTTTTCGAGGAATTTTCAGGTGTGAGTGTGGCTTGTGTCATGTAATGTCACCACCAAAATTCTATCGAAACAGTTGTAGTGGTGGAGGTGAAGTGAGGTCGCGCGGGGCTCCTCAGGCTTAATTTCACTTATAGTACAAATAAAAATGTAACAGCAAAAACAAAAAAACAATAAGGAAATTTAAATATCAGTTCAAATAATAATTATGCTTCATCAACGTCACGGTTCACGTCTTTGCTGCCAACGGAGGCATTACATTAATGGCTTCAGACCCACGTGGTCCCTCGCGGGTCTGGAGGTTTGTGCAGCCTGGTGACGATCAAATGTTTCATGTCCCACACTATAAAAACATTGCGATTTAGATTAGCTTTAGAGGAAGTACACTTTCAAAATATAATTGATTTTCATCATTTCAGACGTCGTCGTTACGTGAGCAACGATTCGCAGAAGGACTCATTGCTGGATAAAGCTCAGGTTTCATATGATAATCTTCTGAAATTAGTACAACAAAGCCATCTGCTCCCATGGAATATTTATTCCTCCATTCACGAATTCGGAAGATATTACTTCGAAAGTCAAGAGTTGTACCTGTTATGCAAAAAAGACTATGAAATATCCAGTTATTCAGGGACATGCTGAAACCGTTCGAATTATCCTTATTTGCCCATAAAAAAGATTCATATGTAAGGTTTTCATAGAACTGGCCAAATTTTTAATTTTAACACTTTCAGTTACTGCTCAAGAACGCCGGCAAAACTTGCATATATTCCCGATTGAAAGATGTCCAAGTGAGTGTTACCCGAAATGGTTTGAACTGTATTTTTTTCAACCAAATAACTGCTAATCAGTTAGGAAGCGCTTGGAAAGCATTTGGAGGAAATGATAGTGTTGTGTGAAAATCTACCAGAAACCGCCACTCGAGACGAGTTGACGTTGCTGTTGGGCTCAGAAGATCTTGAAGAGTGCTTCGCTGAAGGCACAACTTATTGTGAGTCAACTTCTCGAAACATTTTGCTCATGAAAGGTGGTAGCATAATGGGCAGGGAGTCACAGGGCATTCTGTTTTACTGCGTATCGCAGGCGACAGTGTCGTGTGGGAAGTACCGTAGCCCAATCCCCCCCCACCCCCGTCAACTCTTGAGTTTTGGCTATGAAGCGCTAAATGAAGAACTCTAGAATATCTTTCTCTTCTCGTTTCCGTTATTTTTTGCCTGTAAAAGCAAACGCCTTTGGAACACAAAATGAAAGTTCACTATGTAGGTGGCTCCATCATCGCTCGCTTGCCGTATCCCCCCCCCCCATAGTACCTTCCCCAACCTCACCCATCCCCTACCACTTCCGCTCCGCTTGTCGGCAATTTCAAAGAAAAGTTGGAGGTGAAGTTGCTGTATGTAGACTGGTTTCACCTCAGAGTCATATCATAGAAAGAGTGATGGTAGTAAAGGTGGAGGGGTCGTATTTGTGGGCGACTTTCTTCTCATGTGGTGGTGTATGAGGTCGCGCCGTTACCTTCGGCGGGGAAGGGGATGGTAATATTTTGAAGGGCTGTTGATCTCGCTCCTCATATGTCTTCTAGAAATACGGCACATTTTCGCCAAATACGATTC